AGGTCCGGGTCCATTTACCCAAAATGTTGACCGAAGTCAATATTATGCATATTAATATCGAAATTCATCAAAATTTTCACCNCTGAGATTTTCCGAACTTGTATACCTTTCTGAGGACCTGGCGCGGACCGCACAAAAATGTGTTCCGGCCGTGCCGAGTGGGAGAAAAATTGGGGCTTTTCTANAAAAACGAGGTTTTCAAGGCCTCGAAAGCGCAGAACAAGGAAGAACTACGGTGATGACCCTTCGGGTCGTCACAACAAAAATGCAAATTACTTCACATTTAGACTAACTCAATTTTAACCTATAAAGGTCCTGTTGCCATTTTCATAAAACTAACTCAATAGTACCAACTGAAAACCATATGCTTGTTAGATATGCAAACCAAATCACAGTAACAGTGCACCAATCAAAACAAATAATAGGAAGATAAATAGTAATACAGGGGTGAAAGAGGAGTGAACCTTCAAATAGCAAAAATTCCTTTCTGAATATTGAGTTAATACAAAACCTTCACAAAAGCTCATTTGGACCCGAACAGGAAATGCAGCAGCGCCGGAATCTCGCTGGAATCTCGAACGTAACTGAAACGATCCAACTCGGAGCTAGCGACCTACAAACGGGCTTTAACGGAACTCAGACTCAACTGAAACGTCGTTGTTTTTTGACGACAACCAAAGAATAAGCAGAAAAGGCAGAAACTCTTCCTCACTGTTGCTACTCTCGTTTTAGACTGAAAATAGTAGCAGGTGGTCACTGCTGGGTGGAGACCGAAAATCTAGAGGGCTGAAGGGTTCTTCTTGTTTATGTGTTTTCAGAAGAAGATGAAGAAGCGTTTGGCATGGATCTGTTTTTTTGTTAAGCCAAAGCCATGAAAATGGCTGCTTTGTTTTCTAGAAGAAGACCCATCGGGGAAGGTGGTCTCTCAAGGTCAGAAAACGGCGCTCATGTTTTTTTTTTATCCCTAGGTCTAGACTTTTTCCCCCCTTTTGGAGTTAGTCTAGGGTCTTCCCTTTATAGGTTTAGGATTTTAGGGTTATATTGAGGTTAAGGGGTATGGGCCTAAGAATTATGGGCTTGAAAATTATGGGTTAGGTCCAAAATTAGGCCTAAAAATGGGTTGCTCGAGCCCAAGTTTTACTCTTTCCTTGCGAACGAGATTAAAAATACGATCTCATTTATTAATTAATCCTACTATTGAAATAATTATTAAAATAAAGCTAACCATTAAAACAAACCTATTTTTGGTATTTTCAAATATCATATTAAAATAAAAATACGATAGTATTTTTTGTATTTTTTAAGATTAAAGATGACTACAAAATATTAATGAACCTATTTTTATAATTTTTGTTTTCTTATAATAAAATAAAGTAAAAGAGTAAAAATGAGTTGAAATAGCTATACTAGGCCTAAATTAAATATTTACATGCTAAAATATTAAAAATCTTGGGGAGAGTCAAAAATCACATGTCTACAGGATGTATCATTGAAAGCACATAAATTATCATCACCATGCACAATGATTTCTTGTCTATCCCACTCGAACTTCACCATCTGGTGCAGAGAAAATGGAACTGCTTTGGCAAGATGTATCCAGGGCCTACCCAATAGCAAATTGTAGGAGACGGCCACATCCAGTTCCTGGAACTCCATGGTAAATTCAACTGGTCCTATTGTCAGTTCGAGCATGATATTGCCAATAGAATCTTTTCCCCCTCCGTCAAAACCTCGGACATATATATTGTTCTTGTGGATCCTCTCAGCATCAACTTTCAACTTGTGCAGAGTAGAGAAAGGGAAAATGTTTGCACTGGAACCATTGTCAACTAACACCCTTTTGACCACAGAATCTTCGCATTTCACTGTGAGATAGAGGGCCCGATTGTGTTCCATACCCTCTAAAGGCAGCTCATTATCCGAAAAGGTAATCCTATTTGACTCAAATATCTTATTGGAAATCTTCTCCAAATAGTTCATTGTGATCTTGTTAGGGACATGGGCTTCATTCAGAATCTTCATGAGGGCCCAACGGTGATCGTCTGAATGTATCAGCAATGATAGAAGAGAAATCTGAGCGGGGGTCTTTCTCAATTGTTCTACTATGGAGTAGTCATGTACCTTTATTTTTCTCAAGAACTCTTATGCTTCCTCTTCAGTAACTAGTTTCTTCACTAGAATTGGACCATCTTTGAGTGGCTTAGCTTTCCTTAACTCTTCTGGGGCAAAACATCTCCCTGAACGAGTCAAACCTTGGGTTTCATTAACTTTTTCTTCCACCTCTTTCCTTTTGTAAGTTACTATCACTTGCTTGTAATTCCATGGAACAACTTTGGTGTTATCTACCAGCAATTGGGTCACAGGTTTGATAATAACAGGGGCAATGCGAGCCCCTTCCACAACAATGACAAGCTTACTTGCTACCCTCGGCACGACCACTTTTGGCTTTCCTTGCTTTGTTTCAACATCATCTGGGAAGCCCTTCGAGACTACCACAGGTGGCTTATTATTGGGCATGTTTGGCTTATCTGTCAGCTTTTATCCATCGAAGACATTACCTTTGTAACAACTGGAGCTTTGACTGGCTTACTTTCAATGGCCCGGATCATCATAACAGACTTTGAAGGCTTCTTGGGCTCCCCATCCTTATGCACTATCTCAATCATGTGCGTTTTGGCATGGGCTGGCAACAGATTTTGATTGATATTGGGCGCTTCTAGGCTCTAGACCACAATTTGCTTTGTATCAATAAGCTCTTGGATGGCGTTCTTTAAATGCCAACACTTTTTTGTGTTGTGCCCAGTAGCATAAGAACAATACGCACATCTAAGGGAATAATCCAGGTTCTTTGGAGGAAGGTTTGGTAGTTTTGACTCAATTGGCCTCAGAACATCCAACTGCCTCAACCTTTGAAATAAGTTGGTATAAGATTCCCCAAGTGGGGTAAAAGTTTTCTTCCGCTGCAACCTTTTATTTCTAAATTTTGGCTTGGCCCGAAAGTTTGATCCAGTAGGGTTTCGGTATGTTTGTGGAGGTAGGTAAAGGTTTCGTGGAGCTGGGGCACGCCATTGCGGGTGAGGAGGGGGTTGAGCATATGACTGTGCGTGATGGACATGATATTGGGGTGACCTGAATGAATACTAAGGCTCTGGTGGTGGGAAGTAGGGTTCGGATGGATTATATGGAGTTGGGGTATAGGTTTGAGGCTGGGTGTAGTGGTGAGGAGAGCCCCCTGAGCCATGCCATGATCCTGAAACGACCATAGCGACATCTTCTTTCTTCTTTTTCCCCAACACGCCCCCTGTGCCATTCTGGATTGCCTGCGTAGTTGCTTTGATGGCAGAGTAGCTCATGATCTTGCTTGATTTGAGTCCTTCCTCTACCATTCCTCCTATTTTTACCACTTCATTGAAAGACTTACCTATGGTCGAGATCAGATGACCAAAGTAAGTAGGCTTCAAGTCTTGAAGAAAGTATTCCACCATTTCATCTTCCTCCATTGGAGGGTTGATTCGTGATGCATGTTTTCTCCAACGGAAACCATACTCCCTGAAACTCTCACTGGGATTTTTCTCTATCTTTGTCAAAGACAAGCGGTCTGGGATAATCTCTATGTTATATTGGAAATGTGGAGCAAAAGCTTGGGCTAGATCATCCCAAGTGTACCAACGACTATTGTCTTGGCGGGTATACCACTCCAATGTTGCATCGCTCAGACTTTGGCTGAAATATGCCATCAACAGTTCATCTTTCCTACCAGCTCCCCTCATCTTGCTACAAAATCCTCTCAAGTGAGCCACGAGGTCTCCATGCTCATCATACAAATCAAATTTGGGCATTTTGAATCCAACAGGTAGCTGGACGTCAGGAAACAAACACAGATCCTTGTACGCCACACTCACTTGGCCCCCTAACCCTTGCATAGTTCTCAGTGACTGCTCCAGGCTCTTTACCTTCCTAAATATCTCCTCTTGCTCCGTATTTTTGGGTGGCTTTTCAGTCTCGACAGGGAGTTCAAAATGAGGAGTGTAGGAGTAGTGATCTCGGACTTTGAAGGTAAGCTCTGGTGGATAGTACTGATTATCTTGGTTCTGGAATAACGGCTCACTGGAAGATCGATGGAGTGTAGCTGGTAGAAGTGCTATGAAGACAGGGGTAGCTGGCAGAGGGGGGCATGTGGTTGCTTTGGCTGGTGGAGCTTGGATGGTTTGGGAAGTGGTGCCCTAATAGTGGTGGTAGGGGGTGAAGCTTGGTGCATGTTGTAAGGATAAATCAACAGTGGGAGGCTCTTGTGATTGAGCCAGGGGTGGGATGAAAGCAGGGTTGGCGGGGTATGATGGGGGAGGGAAACCCTTTCATTCATGCCTGGTACATTTTGGCCATTTGGTGCTTCAACTTGTGTAACTCCTCTTTCAGACCAGTCTCAGACTCGTCCACCTCTCTCGGTGGATCAATAATACTTGCGTCCAGTTCTTGGCCAGCCATGATCAACTTGTGTTTAGACCTGGTGTTGTACGGGTGGGTTTCCAGAATGCCAAACAAACTAACCACCTTCGTGTTCTCAATGACAACAGCAAACTTGTTAGTGTTTAAGATTTAATAGATAGGCGACCACACGTTTGGGATGCAATGCACCTGAACAATTAAAAGCTTATACTATGTATTTGAACGGCTGCATGTTTCATCTTGTCTTTAACTAACTCTTTGCACTTTCTCTTCTCTCTTTTCTTTTCTTTTCACTCCAACCCTTCTTTGACCTTTCCCACTTGGTTCTTGTCGCTTCCCTTTTATTTTGCACTTGTTTTTGCTCTCTTGTTTGCCATTATTTCTTTCCACTCAATTTCTTTTCTTTTTATTTCCTCTTTTTTTTCATTTTATGGTTATGATCGAATCCTATGGGTATTGCCTATGTATCATGACGCCGCATAAATCAGATCATTATGTAGTTCAGGGGATAAATGTGAAATAAAATAAAGACACATTATTTTTTGGTTTTTTCAAATTTTTATAAAATAAACACATTCCAGTTTTTTTCTATTACAACGACTCCACCCTACAGACTTAAGCATTTTCAAAAACTAAAACAAGACTCAAAATGGACTAACAGACTCTAAAAGAAACTGCAATACAAACTCGAAAAATAAAATCAAGAATACATAAGTGCTTCCACTGCTACTCCGGTTGGTCTCGCTGCAGGCCTATGCGCCATATCTTCTTGGGGGCGAAATAGGTCGTCCATGATCTGCCGGAGAAAAATCATAACTGAAGCGAAGAACATGGACCTGGTCATGTCCTCGCATTCGTTGCACTTCATCACAATGTAGTCCGCAATCCTCCTAACCCTCTCCCTGATCATACCCTTCTCTTGTAGCAACCATCCGATCTGCTGAGATCTGGCCTCCAAAACTTGTTCGACCATATGATTTTGTTCTTGCAGTTGTTGCAGGTCTTTTTCTAGCTGCGACATCAGGGAATAGCAGTGTTTTCTTTCTACTTTGAAGTCTCTTGCCTGCTTGGTCATTTCATTCTCAAAGACATTGATCTTTTTCTTTAGACCCACGATTCCTTTATCGTACTTTTCCTTCAGCTATCGAACGAAACTTGCCCGTCCCTCCGCATTCTTAGCTAACTTTTCTTGGACCTTTGCTAGTTCAGCTTCAGTCTTTTCCAAGTCAAATCCACAATGACATACTCTCAGCCTGAGTTTGTCTATAAGTTTCTCATCTTTTTCACTTATGACAGGATTCTCAGTCGCTATTTTCATCTTTCGAATTTGGGCTCGGAGGGCTTCATTATCTTGGGCCAACCTCCTCCTTTCGCCCTCCACTTCTTGTGCCTGGAGATCATTATTGAATTTGATGTTTATCAATTTCTCTTCCAAGGTGTGAATGGAGGCTTGATATTTTTCTCCTTTTCTCCCTAGGCCAACCTCTCTTGGACATTATTATCAAAAGCTGGAACATGAGGTCTCTTGGCGGGCCTCTCGGTCTCAGGCTCGGGCTCTGGCTCGTTATTTACACAAGACCTTCTCTCAAACCACACGGCATAATATGGATCCACCTTCCCCTTTGCAACATCTGGTACCTGGGTGCCATTTTTCAGATATCGGCAACCATTCCAATCCTGCTGAACTAAAGCTTCGGGCAATGTAGCTTCTGGGTGTAGCTCAATGACCTGAGTGGTTAGATCTTCATCTTTGGGCACCACCTGATATCTCCCCAACTACCTTAAGACCCTCTGCGGTGCATATGGCTAGACACTCCTTAAACCCATCAACATTAGGTAACTTTTTGTAGTCGTCATGTGTATGACTTCCGTCACCGGGAGCCATCCTATAGTCCACTTGACCTGACTTGCTTTTAGAGCTTTCAAGTAGGAGACCCATGTTTCAAACCCTCCTGGAGCATTGTAGTCTTTCACCCTTTCCTCGTAACTCTTGATAAAGTTATCTGTGCTTGAACCATAGCTCATGAATTTGGGGTGATGGCAGAGATGCTCGATCAACCACATTTGTAGAAGGACATTACAACCTTTAAAGAATTGAGCCCCGGACTTACACAATGTTAATGCTCGATAAATGTCTGCCAGCACTAATGGAGCAAGTGTAAGATCTTTTTTAGTAGTGAGGATTTGTGCAATTCTGGCCATTCGGGTATCTACTGTCCCCTCTGCATTCGAAAAGACCATAATTCCCAAAAATGCCACAATGAAAGCGAACCGACAATAAACTTGCTAGATGCCCTTATCTTGTTTGTTGTTTAAACCCTTTTTATGCGTTTCGAACCCAGCTGAGTGCCCGAACCTAAAGTACAAGAAGTGGAAAGAACAACATCCTCTGTTTACATGGGCCTTCTTCATTTGCTTGCTGATGTTCAGGAGATCAAAGAACTTGTGCACAGAGGGAGCCCTTGGGAATATAAGTTGTTGTTTCCTCAGGTCCCGGCCAAAATCAATATACCTGGCCATTTCCTCCAAAGTAGGGGTGAGCTCAAAATTAGAGAAACGGAAAACGTTGTGGACAGGGTCCCAAAAAGTTACCGAAGCCTTGATTAGATCCTCTAGTGGTCTGATTTTCATAATGTCTGTAAGGGCACCCAACTGCTCTTTTACCCAATCCCGACCATCTTTATCTAGATCATTCCACCACATATGCAGCTGCAGCTGAGCCTGTTCTATGACCAGTTATGACGGATTCTAGACAATGTTCATTTGTACCTGTGGAGGGTTAAGGTTAGGGTTGACTCCTGTGGACTCTTTTGTAAAACAAGTTTTCAATTCCTAACAGAAAAATCAACGGAAAATGACCCCCCATGGTACTTTAGCAAAAGTGGTCGTTTTTGCAAACGTGGCCTCTTCACAATTTCGAATAAATTTTGAGAGTGGGAAAAGATACTTTATGGAAAATGACACCCTACCGACAAACTTATCCGTTCTTTTATGAAAATAGCCCTTCGATAACTGAAAGATATTCTAAGGCTATCCCGACAAGAACGACTTAAAACATAACCGAAGATGGGTCAGCTTATTCTCTTGACCAAAACCCTAAACTACATTTATTTGACAATTTACTTTTTTTAAAAAAAAAATAAGGCCGAACCATATGTAGGTTGCATACGTATCCCACATTCGGTGAGAATTAGACCTGCGTAGTTCGGTCAATTTTGACATAATTGGGAAAAACATGTTATCGACTCATTTTGAAATGACTCTTTTTTTCTTCTTTTATTTTTGAAAAATTTTGGCAGAGTTTCAGGACATTTTCAAATACCAGAGGTTTTCAGAACCGGGCTTTATTTCTTCCCTACCTCAATCTTGGTTTTTCCTTTGATTTACTTTTCCTAACCGGTCAACATGCAAGCCGAAACAAATAAATGTTCACATCGCACGTAAGATGCATCATATTTTGGGTACACTTGTCCTAGACGGACCCAACCTTTGTGTTGAGTCCCCAAAGTCAAACGCACGTGATGCAAACAAACATTCCTACTAGGGATCCGGCATAAGGTTATGTTATTCTAAGTTTAAACCTGGGGTTGTGTTCTTGACCTGGCTTACCCGAGTGGACAACTCGAGCTAAAGAGGGGGCAACGTACCGAGAGCACGAAAGTCTAGTCGGCCTTGTTGCTAGCCTAGCCTCGTTCTATTTGGTATAACTTCTAACAGAAAAAGTGAGCCATACGAATGTGTGCACCATTTTTACAAGACTCAGAGGGGTGGCGTAAGAAGGAATTTTAATATAATTCAACAATATCGAAATGGTAAATAAACAGAATTAACACAAAAAGTTCACAAAATACAGTAATATTAACAATAAATAAAGCCAAATAAAATCATATTAAAATCTCGAGTTCTTGAACCCTGAACCAGAGATTTTGGGTTCTTGTTCCTAGTGGAGTCGCCAGAGCTGTCACACCTCTTTTTTCTACCCCGAAAAGAGATATAGGGGAGTTTTTCCAATTAAAGTAACAATAATCGAAACAGGATTATTTATTTTAATTTAGAGTTGCCACTTGGGATAAATAATAGTGTCCCAGGTCACCGAATAAAAATCCCGAATCGAGAAAAGTTGACTCTTATTTATGGTCTACAAATACAAAAATTCGGGTAATGAATTATGTCAACCCGAGAGAAGGTGTTAGGCATTCCCGAGTTCCGTGATTCTAGCACGATCGCTTTGATCATATTTGGCTTAATCAAATTGTTTAATTACTCAATTTTGGAACCTATGTGCATTAGCCTCTTTTAATTAAGAAATTATCTTAAAACATGTCACGTGTACGTGTACCAATTTGTTTGGCATGTCAAAAATTATGTCACACGAACGTGTCCACAATCAATAATGCTTTATTATTATTGAGAATGTTTGGTTGAAGTTGCGCGAACGCATATTCCGATTTTGTTTTCTTAAAATCGTAATTATGTCACGCGAACGTGTCCACAATCACGATGATACATTAAACGTGCCTAAGGCAAACGAACATTCATTTTTGATATTTAAGTTATACTATTAATGTGAGGGCCATAGGCTATGTAATTGGATAGCACACCTCGATTTATTCAAAGAAGAGAATTGTGTTCAATTAAAGCAAATTATAAGGTCCCCGCTTAATCTAACTCAAGATTAAGTCTAAACTTGCTAATTACGAATGTGCTTTGAGATAAATTAATGAGCCTTTGATTACTTAAGGAAGATTGAGCCAGTGGCAGACTCGCTTATGTTTTAACGAAAAGTCAATGAGGTTGGGCCCGAAATTGAGCCCACCATTTAGAGCGAAAGGTCAGACCTTCCCAACGATTTAATTGGGCCAGAAATAGGCCCAGCAATATAATGAACTCCACATTACAAGCCATTTTTTTAAAACATAAGACGCAAAGGAAAAAGGTTGAGGCCGAAGACTCTTGGGCCTAAAATGTGCCCAAGACCAAAGAAAACAGATCTGGTCATTTTTGGACCTCATGTCAAACATGCTAACTCATCAGGCCCA